TAAATCTTTTTTTAAAGTTGATTTGTATTGTTAGTTGTCTTCGGCATTTAAGGTGTCTGTTCCTGTGATCAATAGAAATGTGTTTATTTAATGCTTTTACTGTTTAAATGCAGGATAGAAAAACCCCCTCACCAAACCTGCTGTCATTGATTCAATTCTGATTTATAGCATCCCTGAAGTGCTTAAGAAGGAGCTCTGGTAGCGTAGCCACAAGGTCAGCAGCTTGAAACTACCAGCTGTTTCGAGGGAGAAAGATTAGGATTTCTGCTCCTGTAAAGATTTGCAGCCTCAGAAACCCTGTTCAGAGTCGCTATGAGTTGGAACCGAGTCCACGGCACATAACAACAACAACAAAGTGCTTAAGAGCAAAGGTGTGAGTTTGAGGACTAGGGGTGTGCCTGATCCAAGTCATGGTATTTGCTGTAGCTTCATAAGCATGTGAAAGTTGGCCAGTGAATAGGAAAACCATAGAAGAATTGATGTATTTGAGTAGTTATGGTGTTGGAGAAGAATATTAAAAGTACCATGGACTGCTAGAAGAACAAACTAATCTGTGTTGAAAGAAGTCCAGCCAGAATGCTCCTTAGAAGCCAGATGGCCAGACTTCATCTCTCATACTTCAGACATATTATCAGGAGGGACCAGTCCTAAGAGAAAGAATTGGTTAATTTCAGGGTTAGCAAAAAAAGTGAAAGACCCCGAACAAGATGGACTGACACAGTGGCAGAAGCATCGGTATCAAGAGTAACAACAATTGTGCATTTGTGTTTCGTTCTGTTGTGCATAGGGAGTGTTGACTCCCACTATCAAACTAACAGCTTCTAAGGAATATCTTCCAAGTTTTTGATCAAAGGTTCCCTTTACAGTTTAAATTCTTTTCCAGTGATCAATGTATTTCAGAGGAGATGAATTTATCACAAGGTTATTTATGCTTTTTCAATGTTATTCAACATAATGTAAATGCTCAGAAGGCAGCATAATAATTAATGAAGTAAGTATAAAAATGTACAACCTGACTTTCTAAATTCTCTTCCAAATGTAATTGGAAAGGAACCAATGAAATCCAGGGAAGTAAAAGGGAAGATTGCCCTGTAGGTAGCTATACTGGGCACCGCACACAGAACCAGGATTTGCTTTCTACATCCACTTGTTACTCTGAATATTTGTAAACTTTCTGCACCTCTAGTGCCTGCCTCTGTAGAATCTAAGTAATAATATAAGTTGGAATTGACTGCATGGCATTGGGGGATAGGGGAGGAGCCTCATAAAATTGTGATGGAGAGTATAGATGATAACTTGGCATAAATGGTCATTCATTTTTAAAAATTGGTATTAACTTTAATCCTCTTCTTAAATACCATTGAGTTGGTTTTGACTCATAGGGTCCCTATATAGGGTTTCCAAGGAGCATCTGGTGAGTTTGAACCACTGACCTTGTGGTTCAAACTGACCTTAATTAATGTCCACTAGCTCTGGTAGCGTAGTGGTTACGAATCAGGCTGTGAACCTTAAGGATAGCAGTTCGAAACTACCAGCTGTTCTGCGGGAGAAAGATGAGGTTTTCTGCTCCCGTAAAGATTTACAGCCTTGGAAACCCTGTACAGGGTCGCTATGGGTCGGAACCGACTCAAAGGCACTTAACAACAACAACAACAACTTACACTACATAGTGGTTATGAATCAGGCTGCGAACCGCAAGGTCAGCATTTCGAAACTACCAGCTGTTCCGCAGGAGAAAAATGAGGCTTTCTGCTCCTGTGAAGATTTATAGCCTCGGAAACCCTGTACAGCGTCCTTGTAGGTCAGAACTGATTCTACGGCACATAACCACCACCACTTATACCACAGTACCACATCAGGACATAAGCTTAGTGCAGAAATCACTTTATTCATTCCTCTCAAGGGGTAAAGTATGGCAGTTTTAATGGCTTAATCAAAAAACTCATAAATGGTCTTAAATTTATTTGAACCAATTTCAATATATAAATTCCTAATAGAATGGAATTGACCAATGTATCTCTTAGTATTTTCTCTGCTGTTTAGAGGTGTACCTTGATCCTATATTTTCTGAACTCTGATTCACTAGATTTCTCTATTTGCATTTTGAAAATAATGTTCTTAGGAAGGGGCTAGGTTATCAAGTAGTTTTTCTTCAGAATACCTTCCTTGTGTAGACTGGAGATGGAAGTTTCTCAAAGTTGAAGCAGTAGCAACTTGCTATAGATTTCTGGTGGTAAAGTAGTTTCCACTAAACGTCACTGTCCACACCCTTGCCATGCTTCTCCATCTGAAATAGCAACCTTAATTTACAAGACCGGTTCATTAAAAAAATAAAGTGTTGCTCTTCAGTCTTACATTCCAGCTTCCACATCCGCAAAGGTGTCTACTGTGTCTCTGCCCCTGGGGCTGACTCTGAACACAGGAAATGAAATGACAGGTCATTTTGTTCTTCAAAGATGGAGATGAAGAGACAAAAGACATTATAACAACATGGTGGGAAATGTGATCTAGAGGAAGGAAGTAAAGAAGAGAAGAGTAAATTAAAAAACAGTGAGACGGCCCTTCCACGTCCACTCACGTGTTTTTAATAAGAAGCAAGGCTTCTACTGTTTTGTTGGGATTAACATGAGGAAGCATGTTGTAGAGACTCGTGGAGAAAATACTCTGGAGAAGTGTCCAGAGAGCAGGTGAAAATGTAAAATAGAGTTAAGTAAGATGGGGGTTCCAGTCCAGATTTAACAGGGAAACCATGTTATTTCAGTTTTTTTGAACCTCAATTTTTCATCTGTAAAATGAGGGCAATACATCATACATATAGTAGATGTCCTAATGTAAGTTAAGCCCTTAATGAGCACAGTGCCCAGCCAAATATTCAATAAGTATTAGACACTATCACTGTTATGATCAAATAAACTTAAGAAGGAACAGCCAAACCAGTTGCTTCCAGAGTAAGATGATTGTGAGAGATGATGTGCCTGGAAGGAAAATTCTAAGGAGCACAGGACAGCCAGTTGTGACCTCACTCCATAGCCCAGTTCCACTGCTAATGACTTAGGTTTTTGCCTGGATTCTTTTCTCATCAAATTGTTGGCCAATTCTAGAAGCTATTGGCAAGACCAAAATTAAATCAGGGAATAATTTACTTCGGACATATTGTCAGGAGGAACCAGTTGCTGGAGAAGGACATCATGTTTGGAAAGGTGGAGGATCAGAGAAAAAGAGGAAGACCCCCAACGAGATGGATTGGCCAAGTGGCAGCATCAATGGACTCAAGTGTGGCAACAATAGTGAGGTTGACCCAGGATCGGGCAGTGTTTCAATCTGCTGTGCATAAGGTCACTATGAGTCGGTAATGACTCGATGGCACCTAACAACAACAATGATGTTATAGGAGACTCAGAGGATCATTTATTACAGGAGAAAATAAAGTTGTGTTGTTGTTAAGTGTCATCGGGCCATTTCTGACTCATGACGACCTTGTGTAGGGTTTCTGAGGAGTGGCTGGTGAGCTTGATTCGCTCACCTTGCGGTTCAAACTGACCTTGCTGTCCAGAGCATTAATCCAGAGTGCCACAGCAGAACTCCTAAACTGCAAATCAAGATGTTGTTGTTGTTGTTAAATGCCACCAAGTCAGTACAACTCATAGCGACCCTGTATAGGGTTTCCGAGGAGCAGCTGGTGAGCTTGAACCATCGACCTTGCGGTTCAAAGCTACTTTGCATTAACCCATAGCGCTATATCAGGACTCCAAAAATTAAGGTAGACCCATTAAAGATGGACGACTTAGTATGAAACCACTACTTTAAGACCCAATAGGCTAATTGCCACCTGTATATTATTCAGCTAGGAATTTTAATAGACAGTGATCTAAACAACTATGAGGATGAAGGTGCTGGTACTTTATAGGAAGGGAGTTACAAGAGCCTAGAACTCCATATGTATCTAGAAAGTTGATTGAAAATAGAGCTCTCAATAAAAAATGTGGATAGAGAGTCTTTTTTTGTGTGTTATTACAATGGCTTTTGACACAGGTACTTCTATCTCTATTTCATAGATGAGGGAAAACAAGGTACAAAGAAGTTATTTGTTGTTGTTGTCAGGTGTCATCGAGTCGGAACCGACTCATAGTGACCCCATGCACAGCAGAATGAAACAATGTCCGATCCTGGGCCAACCCCACCACCGCTGCCTCACTTGACGCCATCAATGATGCCACCTGGCTGATCCATCTCATTGGGGGTCTTCCTCTTTTTCTCTGACCCTCCATCTTACCCAGCATGCCATCCTTCTCCAGCGACTGTTCTCTCCTGACAATATGTCCAAAGTATGAGAGACAAATCTTAGCCATCCTGGCCTCCAAGGAGCACTCTGGCTGCACTTCTTCCAAAACAGATCTATTGGTTCTTTTGGCAGTCCGTGGCACTTTTAGTATTCTTCTCCAACACCACAACTCAAAGGCATCAATTCTTCTACAGTCTTCCTTACAAAGAAGTTATATTTGATACAAATTCTCTGATTCCAAATTTAGTTCCTGTTCACCTGTGCCACAAAGACTAATGGAAATACGTTGGCTTCTGTTTTGTTTTGTTTTAAGCTTTTAACAAAAGCTAGGCAAACATCTGAGGCATCTTAAGTGTTCAAAAGTTCAGAGCACTAGGTAAGTGGAGTTAAGTTATGTCAAGAAACGGAGTCTTTCTAAATTGTTTGTCATAAAACATTTATAGTTTTGAAATAGCATTTTTCTTTATTCTCTGGTTCGTTTTTTATGATCCGCACAGAGCAATAGTTCTCACACTTGAACATGAAGAGCTTGTTATATAAAGTTTGAGTAAATCTGGTATGGCCTGAGAAATTGCATTTCTTACAAGTTCCCAAATGATGCTGGTCACTTACCACTGTTGTATGTTTTTTTCCTTCCAAACTTGAAAACCAAAACTATGAAAACTTTATGTACATTAATTTTCTTATGGAATTCTTTTTTCTGTTTTGGTCTCTATAGGTGGCAAATCTTCCAAAAGACTATAAGATATCCCTCAATTATGTTCCCGAGATGGATATTTTGGTATGTTAACTACATTTCTGAATTTTATTTTAACAGCTGATATAAAAGAGAGGCTTATTAGTATTAAGAAAGGACATTTTGTAGTTTGCTGCTATTTAGGAGTTTGTTAATTGTCTGAATTTAAAGAAGGTATCTCTGGAATTTGACTTACTTTTTTCTTCAAAGCATCTGCCAAACACCAGATTTGAGTGAGCAGTTCAGCACATGTGCCATAGACGTCTTCTCCCAAAGAAAATAAGATTCTTAGAGGTAGCTACAAGATCTTTTTTCCCTGAGTCATACCCATCCCCCATAAAAAAGCTTGAATATCAAAATTATATAAGTTATTTCCATACCTGTATAGGTTGTAGTCAGCTTTATTTTTTCACTTTTATTTAATAATACAAAATATTTTGCTTCAGAATTTGTTGGCAGTGTGAGTCATAGATGGTTCTGATGATTGGTTGGTTGGTTGTGTGCCATCGAGTTGGTTCTGATTCATAGAGCCCCTGTATAGGGTTTCCAAAGCTGTAAGTCTTTACAGGAGCAGAAAGCCTCATCTTTCTCCCTCGAAGCAGCTGATAGATTCATATCTCTGACTTTGCGGTTAGCAGCCCAATGCATAACCCACTACACTACCAGAGCAACTTGATTGTGATGGTATCTACTACTTTATTACAGAAACTAAGAAGTTTTCATCATTTTGCTGATTACACAGTATCAGAATTCATACAGTAGGAAATATTTCATTCAGAGAATGCTCTAATATTTGTATATCCATCATATAGCTTATCAAACCTTAACACTGTGCTATATTTGATTCACTTATGTTTATTTAACCATAAATATAATTAAATCCCTCTGTATGTCTCCCAATCCCTGTTAATCTCCCCTTTGTCTCTTCGGGATAACTCTTTCCTGAGCTGGAAGTGTCCATTGTAGTGTATGTTGTAAAATTTTGTTAGGAGGCTAGATCATTTTCCCGGGAATTATACCAATGGTTTTACATGATTTTATATTTATATTGAAAATTATGCAGTCATAAATGATATATGGTGTTTTTGCATATTAAAATTCATATTAAAGTCATATTACACAAGGGTAAGTCGATAGATATATATTACAATACATATTAGGCAATATATATTGTACATTACACACTATATATAATCCAATATATATATTGTTGCTGTTAAGTACCGTGGAGTTGTTTGCGACTCATAGTAACCCTGTATAGGATTTCTGAGGCTATAAATCTTTTACTGGAGCAGAAAGCCTCATCGTTCTCCCATGGAACAGCTGGTAATTTGAAACTGCTGACCTTGAGGTTAGCAGCCCGATTCATAACCACTACGCTATATTACACGGGTAAATCAATACTTGGGTTTCAATTCAGTCTTGCACAGATTTATTCCAAATACAATGTGTTTAAATATATCTTTGCAATCAATGAGTGACTGAAGACAAGTTCTTTCAGTAATAGTCTTAGTCTCCCTGCAGTGCCTTCAAAAACAAAAACAAAAGCAAAACAAACATCCAGTCAAAATAGTGACTTCCAAGAGGATCTGCTGGGCCGGTTAAATTAAGGTGGAGAGGCCAGCTCAGAAACTTATGGTGACTGCTTTATGAAATTCCAAAGGGGTAATCATTTTGTTCTTGTTTTGTTTTTATTGTGAATTATGTGATAGTTTACATGGGAGAACAACAGCTTTATATTTGTCTTACTGTATTTCTTTTCACTGCAACAATTACAATCCCCTTCATGCTTCATCACATAACCAGAGGGTACACCCCGCATGTCTGCCCCCTCACCCCTGGCCGTCAGCACACAGCCCCTCTCCCTCCCTGAGTCCAGAGCCCCCAGCTGCTCCATCTCTCCACGTCATCATCTCTGCCTCCATCTCTGGCATCACTGCTTCACTTGATAGGGTTCCTCACTCCGCTTTTCTCCCTTGATAGTCCCAGGGACCTCCTTTCCTGGACTGCAAAGTCAACCACTCCCCTCCTTTTGTTACAAAACGTCTACCTTTACATTTCTGACCCTCACAGTCAGTACTGATAGCAGTTATTCACTATTGTACCACAAGAGTCCTATCCCCAAAGGGGTAATCTTGATGAATTTTCTCAAAAGACACAGTAGCAGCCTGAGGCCTTATTAGGAGAAAATTAGAAACTGTATTGGTGAGGAAAAGGTCAGGAAAGTTGTGCTGGGCATATTTTTTTTCCATCACAGCAGTTACTCATTCTTCAAAGATATAAGGGCTATTCTATGAGAATTTCATTGGGAAATTTTACCTTAGCTACCCTACAGCCCTGATCTTGACCCTTCAGACTTTCTTTTTGTTTCCCAAACTCAAAGAACACAGAAAAGAAATATGATTTGAGTCCCTCTAGGATGCCAAAATGGAGTTCTGTTATGGTGCTATAGGGTAAGCACTGGACCACAAGGTTAGCTTGAACTGGAAGGTAGGTGGTTCAAACTCACCAGCCACTCCTTGGAAACTCTATACAAGGTACTTAGCACCACCAGCAACAAGGATGCCAAAACATCCTCTTTGATGTGGTATAAATTGAAGAGCATAGAAGCCTTCCAGGAAGGGTTAGAAGATGGAAACACTGCTTTCAGAAGTGTATAGACCTAGATGAAGGGCTATGTCAAGAAATAATGGCTTAATTTTTGACATTTTTGTTTAATAAAGGTTTTGTAGTAATACTGTTTGACTTAACCACTTATATACCATTTTGTAACTTGCTTACATTTTTCAACCTTTATTTGCGGTACATCATGTTGTTCCATGGCAATTCGTTTTCCCTACTGCATGGTATTCCTTGAGTTAATTGAAAACCCTTGGTGTTACTCTCAACTCTGCTCTGCCAGTCAACATCTTTAAGTAATTTACCAAATACACATTATACATCTCTGTTGTGCAAATCGTCTTCGGTATTGAATCATTTCAGTCTATCAAAATTATTAACAAGTTAAGATAATATTTCTAGTATTTATTGAGTAGTATGTACTATGTGTGGCACTGTGGGTTAACATGCCAGACAGCAAAGCCATTTGAACTGCCAGGTCAGTGGTTCAAGCTCACCAGCTGCTCCTTGGAAACCCTATATAGGGTTGCTATGAGTTGGAACTGACTCGATGGCACTTCACATCAACAACAAAGAAGTATTTATTATGTGCTTATGCTTAAAGTGCCTTTCAAAGACCACATGGCTGTTATTTCAAGAGAATGCCAGATGCTGTTTTCTTGGCTTGGTAGGTATTTTTAATATAAAATACCAGCAATTTATTAGACAATTTTTGGTACTTTGAAATGCTGAAAAAGTTATACTCAAATCAATTTATTATCTAAGTAAATGTCTGTGCCATTGAGTTCTCTGGAAATAGGAATGCAAAAATTATAGCAGTATGAAACTTAACTAATTAAATCATTCAATCGCTTAGCAAATGCTTGTTTAGGAGAATGTATGGAGTTGGCCATGGCTGCAACAATGGCCTCAAACATACTAATCATCATGGAGATGAATCAGACCTAGGCAGTGGGGTTTTTCCATTGGGGATGCCATGAGAGGGGAATCAACTCCATGTCAACTAACAGCAACATAACAACCATAGTGAGAGAAAGTGTTGCAAAAAGTACCTTGAAAACCTGAAACCTACTCCATCAAGTTGATTCCAACTCCCAGAAACCCTATGTTGTTGTTGTTAGGTGCTATTGAGTCGGTACCGACTCATAGCGACCCTATGCACAGCAGAACGAAACACTGCCCGACCCTGAGCCAACCTCACTATCGCTGCCATGCGTGAGTCTATTGATGATGCCACTTGGCCAATCCATCTCGTTGGGGGTCTTCCTCTTTTTCTTTGACCCTCCACCTTACCAAACATGATATCCTATAGGACAAAAAACTACTCCCTTAGGCTTTCTGAGACTATAAATACGGAGTGCACAGGCTCATGTTTCTCCAGAAGAGCTGATAGTGGGTTTTAACGGCTGGCTGGCTGACCTTACAGTTAGCAGAACAGAACTTAACCCACTGTGCCACCAGGGCTCCCTTATAAGAGTGGTTGTGAAGTGCCATCGAGTCCATTTTGACTCACAGCAACCCTGTATGAGGTTTCCGAGGAGTGGCTGGTGAGTTTGAACTGCCAGCCTTGTGGTAAGCATATAGCGACATATCGGGACTCTTTGTAAGAGTATTATTGTTAAGTGCTATTGAGTCGGTTCTGATTCATAGTGACCCTGTGTAGGGTCTCTGAGGAGTAGCTGGTATGTTTGAACCAATAACCTTGAAGTTAGCAGTCCAGTGCTTATCTGTTTATCCTGCAGCACCATACAGGATTTCTGTAAGAGCTTTTGTTGTGTGTTGTCCAGGCGGTCATATCGACCATGTAGAGGATTTTGGAAGAGAGGTTGGTGAGTTTGAACCACTGACTTTGTAGTTATAACTGATCTTGTTGTTAGGTTAAGAGTTGTTGTTGTTAAGTGCTATTGAGTCAGTTCCAACTCATAGCAACCTTGTGTAGGGTTTCTGAGTAGTGCTGCTGGTGAGGTTGAACCACCAACCTTGTGGTTTAAACCAACCTTGCAGTTCAGTACACTAATCCACATGCCACCCCAGGACTTAGTACTTGGGCAATAAAGAACTATCCCAGCATTTGGAGTCCTTGTGTAGTGCTGCAGATTAATGTACTGGGCCATAAGTTTGGTTTGAAAGTCTGTGGTTCAAGTTCACCAGCCATTCCTCATTCCTCGGAAACCCTAGACGGTCGCTATGATTTGACTGCACTTAACAACAACAATCCCAGCATTTAAGGCAGTGATTCCCAACCATACTCAACGAATTAAGCTGCTTTTTGAGAAACAGCATGTGCTAAATGGAAAATAAGTAAATAGATAAGTTTGTGTTGATATAATCATAGATTTTGGTAAGTCATATATTCTATTGGTTAGTAATAATGACAAAAGCCAAACTTGTAAGAAAAAAATGAAGTTGATTCATTGCCATCTTTT